ATGTTGAGACACAGAGGCCTTGGAGAGTGGGGGGGACATCAGTAGACAGTGATGTGAAGGACGTGGCAGGGGGCAGAGGGAAAGAACCAGGAAGGGCAGGGCTGGGGTCAAAGCTCAGTTCCCTTGGGGTGGGGGGTGGGGGGCGCTGCTGTGAGGTCATAGGGAGTGGTAGCGATGGGGGTGGGGGGTGGAAGGGTGGGTGCCTGTTTAAGGCACATGCAGCTCGGGCCCTGGAGCCGTCAGGGATATGGGTCCAGAGCTGCCAGGCTCCTCTGGTTTGTCCATAGAAGCCAGAAATCCGGATTTTTATGTGAAATCTGACTTTTCAAAGCTGGCAACCAATTCAAATTCTTTTGAGGCACCGTGCTTGGCCAAACAAAACATGTCTGCCGGCCGGCTTCTGCCCAGGCGCCCTGTCGGCCAGTTGTGGTAGAGATCATGTTGGGAGAGACGCAAAGGCGGCATCCCATGACTAAGATAGGAGGTGGGGGGAGGGCTGGAGGGTGGGCCTGTGTGCCTGGCCGAGGGGGCCCCTGGCTTTCCAGGACGGAAGGAGCTGGAGGGGCCAGGAGGGCTGCTGGGCTGTCTCACACCCAGGGGGGCAGCCTCTGGCACCCTGGGTGCGGGGGGCAAGTTCAGGGTTCCACGTCTGCCTGAGGTTTGGCTCAGGAGTCGCAGCCAGACACCCACTCAGGGTGACTCAAATCAGAGGGGGTCCTACAGGAGCGAGCGGTGGAGACAGGCCCCTGGGAACTGTCCCACGGTCACGGGGCTGTCTTCTCCCCTCCCTCTCTGCTCTAGGGTCCTCCCCACTGACCAGCTGCTTCTATGGGTCCCCTCATTCTTGCTCTTCAACAATCACAGGGCTCTGCACCCACGCACACTGACTTCCCATGATCGCAGGGCTGCAGGGCTGCAGGGCCCCCCATGGGTATTGCCCGTCTCGATTCAGATTCTCAAGAGAGCAAATCCAATTGAATGGGCTAGGCCAGGTGGCCACCTCTGGCCTGATCTATGTCCAGGGTATGATGTCACCTGGTACAGTGTCCCCCTTACCAGGCCCACCCTTCCTCCAGGTTGTAAGTGGGCTGGCTTGCTGGGAGAGGAGCTCCCGGCAAGCCTGTGGTGGGGATGGCCTATGCCCGTGCTGAGCCCTCTCCAGGCCCCAGAAGCCCCTCTTACCGGGACCTTCACTGATTTTCCTGTGTTTGGGGTCTCTGGGAGAGAGAAGCACACCCACAGACCCCAGGAGGTTGCAGCTTTAGCACAGAGAAAGCTAGCCCCCAGGGGGGTGAAGAGCAAGCAGTCCAGAGAGGGGGTCTAGAAAACAGATGGAGCATCTCGAGAGAGCTGAAACCGGGGGCTCAGAGGCTAGAGAGTTCAGCCAGGTAGAGCCCCAGCGCCTGGAAGAACCAGGACAAAGAACTCCAGAACCACAAGTCAACAACTCAGCGGCAGCTGCGGGCGGATCAGGCTGTGCAGGGGCTGTGGCCTGACCCAGTCATGGCAGGACATAGAGAGCTGGGAAAGCAGTTCCAGAACGTTGTGGTGGAGGAAATAGCCCAGAGCCCCCAGAATTTAGAGCCAGAACCCAGAAGTCTTGGGGCAAAAGGTGTTAGAGCCTGACCCCAGGCCTGGAGTTATGACCCAGGGGACCTGAATTTGAGAACTCCCTTACAGGGCACAGGGAAAATACCCCCCAGTCCCCAATATGGCTGAGGGCCCCAGGTCCCCATGGAAACCCAGAGGGCAGAGGGGGGTGGGCAGGGCCCTCGGGACCCCTGACCCCCAGGGACTCTGTCAGGACAGGCCTTACTGGCCCTTTGTACAGCTGAGGCCACAGAGCTTCTGATGGGGAAACCAGAACTGTGTGCTTCTGTGAACCGAGTGAGCAGCACAGGCCTCAGTGCCCTGAGAATTACGGCAGGCGGGCCTGGCCCTCCTCAGAAGCCCCAGCTTCAACTGCACCAAGAGGAGACTGAGGCCCATGTGTCATTGGCGCCCTCATCCAAAAGCCTCAGGGCACCATTTAAGCCCTCAGGATAGATGCTTCCCGTAATCCCTCAGCCTCTTCCGGGAGAGCCCCCTCCCCACTGCATGCAGATGTACTATCCCTCAAAGGGCCCACGGGAGCTCCCCAAGGCTTGTCAGGGTCACTGATGGGTCCCCAGTGCCCAGCCTGGGGCTTGGCACGTGGTGGCCCCTCAGGGGACTCTCGATGTGTATTTGCTGAGTGAATCTAGAGAACCCAGAAGACCTGGACCAATCACACTTCCCTCTGCCAGGAGTCCTCAAGGGCAGGGGCTGGGTTCTGGTCACCTGTGAGTCCCCAGGGCTGGCCCACGTAAGGGATACATGCAGGAAGGCAGTACCCCACTCTGGCTGAGATGAGATGAGATGAGATGAGATGAGATGAGATGAGACGAGATGAGACGAGATGAGACGAGACGAGAGGCCAGGGGAGCCTTTGGGAGAGGGAATCCCAGCCCCACCAGAAACCGGATCTTCCACTCCTGGGTCGCATCCACGGAGGGCCTCCTGGCACTATCTAGCCCATGGGGTGCGGTCTAGACAGGCTTGGGAGCACCTTCAGTCCCTCGGGGCAGTGCTGGCCACCTCCCGAGGCTCCATTTCTGTAGTGCAAAGTGTTTGTAACCATTAAAGTGCTGTCCAGGTATCGAGTGATGCCATTTACATAAAGTACAAGACCAGGCAAAACTAACCGATGCAGTTAGAAGTCAGGACAGTGTCCTCCCCTTGTGGGGAGTTCCTGGCAGCCCCGCGGGGTGGGGGGTTGGGGAAGGGATGGGACGTCTGGGGGGCTGGTGATGCTCTGCTTCTTGAGCTGGGTATTGGTTATTTTGTGAAAATACATTTTGTGAACATTTATTGAGTTGTGCACTCCTGCACTTTTCTGTACATGTTCATACTTCCCAAAAGTTTTTAAAATGTTAAAATGTTAAAACAACAGTAGCCACCAAGCCCACTCCATTTGCGGAGTCCTACCCCTATCCGTGACAGCATTTCCCAATGCGGGTACTCTGCTGGGGGTGGGAGATGAAGGGCCAGAGAGCTGTTCCGACCTGCGTTCCTACCTACAGGAAGGTCCCATTTCCACTTAGATGGTAGCTTTCGGGCCAGGGGAAATGGCAAAGTTGTCTAAAATGCCTTCATTCCCACCTGCCAAGAGATTGAGAAAACGTCTCCTGAGCACCAGAGGTGTTTTCATGTGAGGTGTCTGGAAG